ACAAAGTATATGTGAACTGCTGTATGAAAAGTGAATTTACTCTGTAAATCTTCACCCAAATCCTAATTTAAAAAAAAAAAAAAAGAATGTGGCTGTAATCCCTTCTTGAGACCTCTGAACAATTCAATGCAGTGACTAGGAGACTCCTTTAGACAGACAAATGAATCTGAAGAGCCACAAATATGACACAACATGGAGAGGTACATGTCTCAATAAGAAATATGACTGTGGTTTTGGGACATGAAGTATACTCAATTCAACTGCATAGGAAACCCACACAGTTTCTAAGGGAGTTGTAGCAACTTGGAATAAAAGGGGCAGAGACTGTTCAAAATGAAAAGAGGCTTCTGAGCTTCCAGCATTCTTTGGGCAAGAGGCCAGCTCAGAAAGCAACTCAGTTGCAGCCTGGAAACATTTCTTATGGAAAAGGAGATTTCAGCAGGGAGAGCCAAGAACCAAGGAGGGCAACAGATGAAGAAACCAGATACCACAAGGAGCTTGTTGTTGTTGTTGTTGTTATGTGCCGTCGAGTCAGACCTGACTCATAGTTGACCCCTCCTTGGGTTTCCGAGGCAGTATCACTGCTGGAGTAGATTGCCCCATCTTCCTTCTGAGGAGTGGCTGGGGGGTTTGAACCACCAGCCTTCTGGTTAGCAGTCAAGTGCCTTAGCCACTATGCTACCAGAGCTCCCCACAAGGAGCAGAACTGCTTTAATTAAGAGGAATACCTTGCCTCCGGGAGCAAGAGAACTGGTGATATGCTGAGCTAGATTTCAGAATAATCTGGTCCAGTGTATGCTTATGTACATTCCAGTTCAAACACCATCCTCTCTTTCCTTCTACTCCCCACTGCCTTATGAAATGGGAGAGTTTATTGCTGTTATCCAGTCTAGTTTTACTCTTCAATGTTGAGGAGAGGGTAATAAGGAGGACTCATAATTTGTCTTTTTAATTCACAGGTCTATGAGTCAACAGATGATATACCTATGGAACCAAACCCATGGAATCTTGTCTATACCTGGACTTACTTTAGATGACAAGATCCTGGACTTTGTGGTCTTAGGAGTAGGTCAAAGTAGTTTGCTTGTAGGACAAACATGAATCACTGTACCCAGAGGAGATTGTGGTAGATTGTTATATAATAGCCTTTGATGAATCATGACTTCATGTGTTCCATGCCCCTTTGCAATGTGACATTGCTGATAAAGAGACTTCTTTTGACCAATAGAATGTGATGGAAGGTGAATTTGTTTGAGGACCAGAGCCTAGATCTTAAGGGGCATCATGGCTTCAAACATCACCCTCAAAGAAACTGCTTTGAGACTAACAGGCATATGAAGAAGCCTGTAATGAAAGACTATATGGAGAAGAAACACATCCAGCTGTCTTGACCGGAGCCCAGCCCCCAGCCCAGCTCCCAGCTCATTGCAGCCACATGCATAAACCCAAGTGAGACTGACAGAATAACCACCCAATCAACCTACAGGATAAGAAATAATAAGCTATGTTGTTCTAAGCCACTGGGCTTTGGTGTGATTTGTTACTCAGCATTAGATAACTGGAACATTAAAGTCAGTACATTTTTACCACTTCAGATGTTATCTGTTTATATATCACCTTTTATACATTGGGAACTTTGGTTGTGTAGTGCTTAAGGCATTTTACTGCTGATCAGAAGGCTGGTGGTTCAAACCCACCAGCTACTCCTCAGAAGAAAGATTGGGCAATCTACTTTTGTAGAGATACTGCCTCAGAAACCCAAGGAGGGGTTGCTATGAGTTGAATCGACTCAATGGCAGTGAGTTTAGTTTTTTTTTTTTTAAATACATTAGGAGCTCTGGTGGAGCAGTGGTTAAAGCATTTGGCTTCTAACCAAAAGTTTGGTGGTTTGAACCCACCAGCTGCTTCTGTAAAGAATTACAGCCTAGGAAACCATATGGGGAAGTTCTATTCTGTCCTATCGGGTCACTGAGTCAGAATTGACTCATGACAGTGGTTTTTGGTTTGGTTACTGTGTGCCAGGCACTGTGCTAGATATTGGAGATACAATAGTGAATGAGATAGATACAGCTTCTGACTTCACAAAATCAGTTGGAGATGAAGGGTGGATAGTGTAAAGTAAATAATCTGTAACAATACAGTGTGGTAAGTGATATGATAACTCATTGCCACCAAGTTGATTTCAACTCATAGCTAACTTACAGGACAGAGTACAACTGTCCCATAGGGTTTCCAGGCTATAAATCTTTACGGAAGCTGACTGCCACATCTTTCTGCTGAAGAGTGGCTGATGGGTTCAAATCTCCAACCTTTTGTTTAGCAGCTGCATGCCTAACCACTGCCCACCAAGGCTCCTCCAAGGGATGTGACAGGACACTATAGTAACAAGATTTTCATGACTCTTTAAAAACTCCTTTTAACTCAATTGTCCCCATCCTGGAATCGTAATAACAAGGCCGTTCATTTTGTAAATTACAGGCACTTTGACAAACTCCCAAAAAAACTCAAATTCGCTACCATCAAGTTGATTCTAACTCAGAGTAGACTCCCATTGGACATCTGCGGCTATAAATCTTTATGGTGGAAGTATATCACCCATCCCCTGACCTTCTGGTTAGCAACCAAATGTCTTAGTCACTGAGCCACCAGGCACTCTGACAAAGAGGGCTATATCTTGACTCCTCCTTTTCCAGGTTCCTGGAGACCTATACATGTTCTTGGATTACATTATATGAGGATCCCTATACTGTACTGTATTGAGATGCTACTGACCCACAAATGCTTCGACAAAATAGACAACATCATTCTTTGACTTCCCCTTAGGATTTCTAGCTGGTGCCTAATTGGATTTCCTGGAAGAAAGCGTAAACAGATATAGTGAGTCTTCAGAGAGCAAAACCAAGACCCTTCTTAATGTAGTATGAAAAATAGCTTTAAACATCTTAAGTCAGCTTTTCCTTGTGCCCCTTTAAAGCTACAGCTGGACCACCAGCTTCATCTTTTTGATTTGTTTTCTGACTGTGCTACCTTTCAGCATCTGGAGGACAGGATCATGCCCTATTTATCTCTGCACACCCAGCATATGCAATAAATGTTTGTTGAACGTCTCACAGAATCATCGCAGGAAAAATATCATTGGAGCTCATGACCATTTTCCTGTAGGACTGTTATCTGAGCATGTTCAAAACTTTGATTTGTTTCATGTAAATCATTCCCTAGGATAATATGGCAAGCCATCAAAAATAAAAGAAAAATATACACAAAAAGCCAAGAACTATACCTAGATTTTTTTAAACTCCCATTTACATGAAAAGTTTACTTTAAAATGTTAATTATCTCAAGAAAATAATTTTTAATTGTCCTACGTTACTTTTAAACTTTATGTAAGACAGCAACCTATTTTGTGAAATAAGACTTGGGGAAGCCAACACACTGTGCATAGTTTTAATACGGAACTTAATGGTATGGTGCCAAACAGGTATTTAAAAAAGCAGGATATGCCAACACTCATTCAAACATATATACTTTCTCTTAGACAAGAGATGATGAAAAATGATTTAATAACAAAAGAAGACTCCCTCAGAAACGAACTGAATGAACTTTCTTTATGTGATTGCTGTAAAGTTTGACAGCAAAGAGTCTCTCTTCCTCCCAAGAGGGGCTAAATTTGATATCGGTGTTTGCTCTACTTTTTCTGTAATCAAATCACAGGCCTTCTCTTTTACCCTCTTTCAGGTTGCCCTTTCTCCTCCTTTTCCCTTATTAAGAAAATGCAAAATACAAAGAGTTGGACAGTCCCCTCTCCATCTACTCCGCCTCTTTCTCGGTTACTTCGCACCTTGCTCTCCCGGAATTTCCCAATCCGTCCCAGCGCGTTCCTTTTTTCTCCGTGGGGTGGACGCCCGCTCCTCCCTCCCCCCACCTCCCAGTCTCTTTCTTTCTTTCTTCTCTCCCCCTCCCCCAGTCATGCTTCCCAGCGCGCTTCCCCTCCCCTGCCTCTCGTTCCCGCATCTTCCCCTCCCCCAGCCTTCTGCCTTGTGACACATCCTGGGCCCTCCCGGAGGCGGCAGTAGCGGCAGCGGCGGCGGCGGCGGCAGCAGGAGCAGCGGCAGCCGCACTAGCCACCACCTCCACCGAAGCCGCAACCAGTGCTCAGCCTCCCTCCGGCTTCGCTGCTGCTGCAGTCATGGCTGCTGACGGGGTGGACGAACGCTCGCCCCTGCTGTCAGCATCTCACTCGGGAAATGTCACTCCCACGGCCCCACCGTACTTGCAAGAAAGCAGCCCCAGAGGTAAGGCCAGCCTAGATCTTTCTACTTTGCAAGGAAAAGCCTAGAATCTTAAAAGACCAGGGATGCTCAAGCTCAGAGGCGGAGGCGAGGTTCTCACTTGAACTGGGGAGAGGAAATGCTGACTGTGCCTTCTGAAGGAGAGCCTTCCTGCCTGATAGCTTCACCGCGGGGCTTTTCTCTCTCCGTGTGTGTGTGTGTGTGTGGTGTGGTGTGGTGTGGTG